TAGAGAGATGCCTTTTTTGTCCATTAGGGAGAAATACTGAATTTGGGGAGTTAAGGAGATAGTAGAAAGCCATGCCTTCGCTTTTCATCCCAAACACAAAGACTCCATGAAGAATGGGCAAAGTCAGAGAAGGTCTTCTGACCTTCTACATTAATTCTCCCTCAGATTATCTCTCTTTGCTTTTGCCAAAGAATTTCTTATTAACATTGGGAAATCCCCTTGAGCCGTGCTGTGATGTAAGGACAAATAAAGCTGTAAATATGAACACAAGATAGTAACAAAATTCCATTGGTTACATTTTATTACATGGTGTTCTTTGTATTTATGGAAGTCAGCTCTTTCTTAACGGAGAAATGTTAAGTTTCTACTTAGTATAACTGATCAGGCTGTAATAATGTCAGAGTAACTAAACAAAAATTAATCTATGAAAACAATGCATATTTCGCATTACTAAAAATATGTAAACTATGCAGACTTCTCTGTGCTCCTTTTCAGTAAAATACTGATAGAATACTAAGCTTAGTACACAATTTAATATGAAGTGCATTTAGTTGCATTTCTAATATAATTGGTAGTTTAAGATTTTAATTTAAAATGTAAGGTATAAACTCTGTGTTTGTGATTAATATCTTCTAAGTCTATGCCTCTGAGAGAGGGGATTTTGAGCATTCATTTTGATGGCAAAATGTGAATTATATTAGGGGAAGTGGAGGGTAATTATTTCCAGAATAAACATGCTGATTTTTTAATAAAAGTACAAAGAACACCCAGCTTCCTTCTCTTGTCCCTGTATTATCGTAAAGTTGTCATATTGCAAAAGTGTCTCATTCAGATCTGAATTTAGACAGAGAACAGTACTGCTTGGCTCTGGAAACAGGTACAGCACCTCTGTCTCTAATTTTTAACTGTCTTTGATCTTGTTGTAGTAGGCAAGCTGTTGTTGGCCCTTCTTTTTGTTCTGTTTTGGTTTATTCCTTCTCACCCTCAATCTTATACAAGCAAAAGTGCCTATGGATTGTAAAGATACCTACACTGTTCTATTTGTAGGCTGCAGCAGTAAAAAAGTATCATAATCCTAGAAACTCTAGCATAAAGTCAGCCTGTCCAGAAATTTATATATGCACACAGAGGACATACTCATCGTCTTTCTTTATATAGCCTTAGTCAGTTGTCCACAGCAGCTCTGGTAACAAAAAGTAGCTGAGAATTCATAAATGCTTTGGTGCAGGGAGCCAAGATTGGCTCCAAAATATGTTGGAACCAGTCTCAGTCCCAGTGAAGGCAGTCCTTAAATTTGGACTAAGGTAGGGAAGTCTGAATCTTTTAATTGTGAAATGCAGATAGCAACTGTCAGACTCATTCAGGGCAACAGGGCTGCAGAGCCATCCTGTAGAACCATGGTGGATTTTCAAGGATCTCTATTTGTGAAATGTGGGGCTTCTGCATAATTAGGACAATTGCCTAAATGCCACACTGTCTCATTTTCAGAGATCCTTTGAGCTTGGCATATGTAATGGCCTGCGAAAATTTTGTTCCCAGGAACGCTGAATCAAAATAGTTGCTTGGGATGTGTCATTTCTCAAAGTTTTCTTGTCAGAATTTTTTATACAGGAATGGAGGATCCTTAATTTGGAATGCCTCTACTGTTGTATTAATTGTATTGCCCTCTCCCAATTGCTTATAAAGGAAGCTATTGCAATTCAAATAAATTACTAAAGTTGTATCTAGAAGATACAGCCTGATAAAAATCTTTCCTAAAATCTTCTATAGAAAATCACTGGAAAGGTGAGTAGAATCAGAAAGAACCAGACTGATTGGGTTTGATGTGCCTACTTTGTACTGCTTTCATGAAGCAAGTCAACTTTAAATACTATGCAGCCAGATATTTAAATAGGCTTTCCTTCACCAGAATTGCCAAATGATGCAATATATCCTTATATAACACTAACATATCTTAAATCTTTATTTCTTAAATATTTATTGACACTTATGTATGCATTTTGGTGGTTATTTGTTAAACACCAGCCTGTCTGGTCTTGTGAAAATCACACTGTTGAATGCATAGCTATAGAATCATACATCATGACTGCACAGCGTTTAGGGAACCAGAATCTTTTCTTCACATATGGATGTTTTGCCACTTATTTAACTAGATGGAATAGTAGGCTTTAAAATGGCAGAGACAAAAGAAAACAATCCCTTATAACCATGGAATTCAAGCTGAGAAGAAAATATCCAGCTTTTCTCTTTATCTCCAATGATGATAACAAGAGAGCACAACAGGTATATTTCAATATTATTTCTCAATGGCAGTCTTTAGAAAATCCAGATATATTCCTGGATATTGAATCTTTTAATTATAAAGGTATACTTATTCTGTTTATATCATCCACTTGCCCTGTTCCATTACATGAGAAATGCAGATTCCAGAAACCTCATTACAATTTTCATTGCTCATCAGAAGCATTCCTTACTCTTGAAATGCTCAGTGTAGAGACAGAACAGGGAAAACCATGCTGTGTGCAATGAAGAGCAGTGGAATGCCAGAGTGTAAATACCAGATAAGATTATTTATAGACTACCTACTTGTTAATATTTCTTTACTGCCATCAACTACAACTCTGAGCATATCTTTTGAATTTGCTAGTATTCTTTCTTTGTATCCAAATCTTATTTTTCTGTCAACGTAAGATCTTCCTGGTTATTTTGTATTTTGTGTTTCTTTATTGCCATTTCTATAGAGATAGATACTGATAAATGGATAGCAGATAACAGTTTCTGCACTGAAGACAAACACCAACAGTGACTACAACAGGCATTGTATTTTGGTTAATTGTGGAATTCCAATTCCAGTAATTCGCACAACGGAAATATTCTGTGCCTCTTAGAAAGTCTAGATGTCTTGGAAAAATTTAAGGTTAATGAACTACTGGACTCATTCATTTGCATGCTGGTGTAATTGGTCTTCAAAGGAACTCTGCTGAATTATACCAGATATGAATCTTTCCCATTTTTTGTTCCCAAAATATTTCTATATCCAGCTCAAATTTTTAACCCTGTGCTATTTTTTGCCCTGTTCTTAAGCTATAGACTGACAAACAGCTTCTGCATCTCCCCAGAGATGTGAATCCGTAGCTCCAGTACAAAAGAGGTTTGTAAATACTTGAGGGCAGAATGTTCTACATAAATGGGAGATAGTGTCATTACTTAGCACTGTGGGAAGCATTTCAAAAGCTGCAAAAAGCAGGAAAGTTTTTAACAAAGCCCTTGTCATCCTCATTTGCAAAACAAATAAATATTTGATCTGCTTGAGTCCAGTGTTCTTCAAGGCAAGGTGTGCCTCAGCCTAGCTCCACTTCCAGTCCTTTGTGTTTGAGGGATATCTCCTCAACCTATAAATCTGCATTTCAAAACATAGCCTATATCGTAAAATAGTGTTTCCTTCCAAACAAATCAATAAATATAATTTTGACTGTTTAAACTCAAAATGTATTTTTATAAGTTAGCTAAAACCACAAAGATTATTTCTAAATTCTTTTCAGACCCTCAGTTTAAGCAGTCTATGTTGCAATGCTTGGCCTGCAGCACTTCTATTTTTAGCTCTAATGGAACAGTCTTAAATTGCTTATTTTCTGTTTACTAAAGTCATTGAGCTTGTAACCATGGCAACTGTGGCAAGTGCCACAGCTTAACTGTTTTATTAAATGGATTGAAGGTACAGCTGCAAAACTTGAAAGGCTAGCATGTCAATTTTATACATAGCTCAAAGTGGCATATATACTACATTATAGCAAGCACTGTATTAAATATGAGGAGCCAGAATCCGACCTTGGTTATAATGATATAAATCTTTACTATCTCTCTCCTCAACAGGAAAAAAAAAAGGGAAAAAAAAAAAGAAATTATTCTTGTGTAACCCAGATCAGTATCTGTTTTTGTCAGATTGCACAGCCTGTCAAGTTTCAGTGATTACTGCATTTGAATGCATAAATTGCAGATGATGCACATTAAACCAGTCCCTAGTTATCATGGAAATGCATTATCTCACAGTTGTGCTTGCATGAAGCTTTTAGCACATTATTTGTATTGCTTACAGCATTCACATTATTTTTGGAACCACTATGTTCTGTTAGGTTAATAGAAAGAATTAAATCAAACTAATGACTCTGTCAAATTAAACTTCTTAAGAGTTATACTGGAAGAATTAACACAAAGAATTGTTTAAATCTCTAATTAGACATTTGAACGAGAACACCCTGAGTACAGAGGTGTTGAGAAATTGGACTTTCTGTTCATTTCAGTGTAACTTGGATATGCTCCATATATATGAAAACTAGGGTACCTTTAAATTCATACTTCAAATTGTGTATGGCAGTTAAGTCAAATACTTCTGAAGATTATTGAAAATTGTTACCACGGGGTAGAAGTCTTTTGTGAGAACATAAAAGCCCATGGGATCAGATAAGAAATATAACTTTTAACAAAAACTGAAACAACATTATACAGACCCTGAAAGAGAATAAAGAGTGTTGAGGGTTAAAATAAGGATAGTGATATATTTACACCCATAAATATTTAATGCATGATTCATCCTGTTGTAATAGAATAAAAAGCTCGAAGAATGTGTGACATTTAGAAGAATGGGGTTCTGCTTTCTTCACTAGTGTTGTGTTTGGAACAGTGTTTGCATTGCTACTTCTGGTGCTAAATGTCTCAGATCACAAGTGTGTCTATCTATCTAGATACTCCCAGTGAATAAAAAACAAAAGGTAAAATTGACATTTTAAAGGAGAAATCTTTTAGAAGAGCTAATAATCTAATAAATTATCAAAAAATGTATTTCTTTCTATGAAAATATTCCTGTTTAAGTATAATGTGCATCATGTTCAATTAATAAATTTAAAGAAATATTCTTCACTATCGATGTAACTGGAATTACTGGAGTGAAAAAAAAAAGTGAAGTTTTCTTTCATTTATGTATTTTTTTTCTCCATTTGCAGGATCTACTTTCATTTGCAACACCCACATAATTCCAGTGAAAAATCAAGAGGGAGTAGCAATGATGTTTATTATTAACTTTGAGTATGTTACAGATGAAGAGAATGTGGTATCTCCTGAGAAGTGCAAGCCAATATTGCCATCCAAACTTGTAAATCGTAAGTTTTTAAAAGTTGTCAGTTCTCTGCTTACCTCTGCTTTTAGCTGGGACAGTAATTAACCTGGGCAATAATAATACCAGAGAAATTATGCAGTTCACATTGCTTGATTCATTTAAGATAAAATTCAAAAGAATGATGAGTTATATATAGCAAACCTGATGTAATGTTGGCAAGATAATCTATCAAATCTTTGGTAGCACTAACGGCACAGATCTTGTGAGTACTACTAGGAAATGTAAAATCATTAAAACATTTCAGAGAAATACATTGCCCTTGACAAAAATTATTATGAATGGAAAATTGAAAAAAATAAATCATTATGATACTGCCCAAATATTTCATCTTAGCTTATTCAGAATTGAATATTTCTATCTTCCTTTCTGATTAAAAATAGTTGGTGGAGTGTGTGATAAAAAGGACTAGAAAATATAAATCACAGAATCATAGAATCATAGAATAATTAGTGTTGGAAAGGACCTTAAGATCATCTCGTTCCAACCCCCCCGCCATGGGCAGGGACACCTTACGCTAAATCATATCACCCAAGGCCTCATCCAACCTGGTCTTGAACACTGCCAGGGATTCACAACCTCCCTGGGCAACCTATTCCAGTGCCTCACCACCCTAACAGGAAAGAATTTCTCCTTATATCCAATCTATACTTCCCCTGTTTAAGTTTTAACCCGTTATCCCGTGTCCTATCACTACAGTCTCTAATGAGGAGTCCCTCCCCAGCAATGTGGAAAACCAAGTTAAAACATAATTAAACATTCTGATTTTACCAAATTGAAGTATTTAAATTGGCTTGAAGGATGTGGGTGTTTTCGGTTATACAGAAAAGGCTTTTGTTTCAGTTTTACTCTGGAACATTAAGTATTGTCAAAATCAGAAAACTCTGCACAAAACAAAGTTGACTTCTTACACAGATACACTGTGCAGCTTTCTGTCATACTATCTGCAGAACGTGTGCTCTTTTCCTGACCTTCACTTTGCGCAGAAACAGCACATGATCCTTCTGCTTTGCATCTGCACTCACATAATTGCTCCCACTACAAGATTTCCCAGGACATGTCCCCATTTGTACAAGCTCTTAGTAAAGCACAGCATGCTCTTATGGTGAGCATTAACACTCTCCCCTGGCTGGCTCAGCAGCTGTTGGAAAACACCTTTTCACAATGTAATAATCTTTAATGTTAGTACGATAAAGGGACCTGGAATCTAACTTGCTGATTGTTATATCAACACTTAGCTTTCTCTAGATAGGAGACAAAGACCAGTATGATCTTCACTGCAAGAATCAAGGGGAGAATTTTCCCAATGTAAGCGCTGTGCTACCTGAAGTGATGACATGCTATATTATTTTTCCTGCTAGTTACGTTGAGAAGACTATAAGGAGGAAGCCTGTAGCTGTGCATGTAACACCACTACCAGGTTCCTTCTGATGAAAGCAGTCTTTGCCGTTCTTCATAATCTGGATATTCTGCACTATATCTTCTGGACAAAATGCAGGATCTCACTCAAAGCTCTGTAACTTCTGAAAAAAAATACATAAAGTCCCCCCATCATTCACATTTTTAAAAAGTTACAATTTATTTCTATGACTAATTGAGATACTAAGAAATATTGTTTTCAGTAAGCATGGAGAGAGAGTTCTGACTGAATCACTCCAGATGGGCCAAAGTCCTTCCACTTATGTCTGTATAAACCTACAATGGCAGTCAATGCAAGACTGGGGAAAAGAAAATTCCCATTACTGGAAACTAGCAGTCTGCAGATAATTATTGTTCACCAAATATCACATGATTTCAAAGAGCCTTTGCAAATATTCTTTACAATACGTATTTAAAATCTCGTGCTTTTATGCTTCATTTTCTTATTCTGTTTTGCAGGGGGGGGTTGTTGGTTTGTTTGTTTGTTTTTTATTGGTTTTTTTTAATAACCAATACAGCAGTATTTTTAATTTTTCTTGCGATATAAAGAACACAGTTTTATTTTTCTAGTAAAGTTATTGGAAAAAATTCCACTAAGGATTATCAGAAAAATAATAAAATTGCATCAGAAAAAAAATTATAAAAAATGTATCAAGTAAACCCCACTCATACTCTCTTTATTTCAGGATGCCATGATTTTGTGAATTTTGAACATTTTACTTCCTAGTTTAAAAAAAAAAATAAAAATTGCTGAGCTGTTCCATGCTTAATATGGTTTATTTTATTATGAAAAGTAGAAAGTAAAATACCAATTGGGGGGAGAAGAGCTTTGTGTCCTGAAAAAGAGCTGCTATATGTGAAACATCACTGTACATTTTCAAGTGTTGTCACTTGCTGCATTTTAAAGTGAAAAGCCACTAGAGAGGACATCTGCAAAAAAAAGCAGTCAGAACATCCTCTCTTGGTTTACGGTATTTACGCCTGACATAGACAGAGGATTTCCTTGCTGAGAGTTCTTGAAAAATGAATAGCTGGGGCTCCAAGTTCAGTGCATAATAGAGAAGGATCAAGGTGCAAAAGGAGGCAAAGAGAGGTGACTTGAACCATTTTCGTGCTAGTGGGTACAGCCAGATGCCAGAAACTGGCAGAAACTAGAGCAGGCAAATGGCTGCTCTTACTCCTACCTAGTTGCTTGTGGTTTCAGAGCAGACTGTTGTGTGGGCAGGATGGGAAGAATGGTGATACAAAATATGCTACAAAGCCCAGAATCCTTCTTGGCAGAGAGAATTCTCAAGAAAGAGGACAACCTGTGCAAAAAATGCAGAAATAACTGCAAGATATTGCGCACAGTCCAATGGGAGATTTGAATTACAAAAACAACCCAAACAAACAAACAAAAGCCTTGAAATTTAGAAAAGACAGAAAGTGACCAATAAGCAACAAAAGTCACAGAAAAGATATATTGTTTACCAGCAAAACCATGTTTTTTAAATCATGTTCTCACCACAAGGCAATAGCAGATCATCTAGGAGGAAGTCAGTTTTTCATCATCTTACTTCTATTTGGAACATACATCAGCAGTTAAAGCAGGTGATCTTTTCTCATTGGCTCACACACAAAATGGACAGTGATGGGAATTGGTTCATCAGAGAAGTTGGGGAGAAGCAAAGTAACAAAATCTCTTCAAATCCAGCACCAATTTAGCGGATAAAAATAGAGAACCAGCCATATAGCAAATGCAATACATCTCTGATAAACAACCAAGCAATAGCTAATGACAAAAGACAAAAGATTTCAGATTGCATTACCATCTACTACCCCAAAGTACACAGATAAAGAGAAATTTCTTCCAGAGCTCCTCAGATGGAGTTTTCTCATATTAAAGTGTGTTTTCAACATGAGAGCAAATAAAAATGACTGAGTCAGGTTGCAGAAGAGAAGACCAAAAAGTGAATACGAAACAGATTATAGTTATTTTCCTGACCCTAGAAAATAACACTTCCATTGTGTCATTCTTCCTCTAATTGATTTATTAAGAGCTGACATCAAATTTATCGAGTGTAACTTTGAAAAAAAACTTTCCTTTTTATAAAAGCATCTATACTGCTAGTTGTAGCAAACAGTTTTGAATAAGATTGCTTACCACAGTGCTTCTCACGACTGAAATCTAACACAGTGTAAGAAAAGAAGCATTTCATGCTGTCCGTAACATTCTAAGCAGACAAGAGGGATTCCAAACTGTAAAAGGTCTGAGGGCCCTCTGAAGAAATTAAATACCTACAGAAAGCAACTGAAATTTGCTAAGTTATGCTCAGAGACTACATTTAGTTCTGGATAGGCAGAAAATGAAAAGTTACCAGCTGAATACTGACAGATCTTTAAACAGTGTTTGTAAGCTCTTTAGGACAGGAAGCCTGTCTTCTTTTTATGTGCCATTATGATGGCTAACACAGCTAGGTTTTGATTCTGCATTGCACTTGGCAGATTATGATAATAATAGGTTATTAAAAAAAAAAAATCAACAGTACACTGCCAGGAGTTTAATGACCACATTTGAGTATAAATACAGTTCTTTCTAGTCTGATGCTTAAGAGCTCCTATCTTATACACACCAAAAAGATGAATAGGAAGTAATGTGAAAAGTGAAGATACTGGCTTCACAATAGCAGTGTAAAAATCCATTCAGTTGATCCTTTTGTACCATTTATTCTTCCCTGAAAGAATTTATCATCAGTTCTCTATGGCAGTCTGACTAGTTTGACTATAATCAAATAGCTAAATTTTGGAAAATCCTAGCATGCACCAAATCTGTAAAGAAATACTAAGTCACAGCCAACTGATTTTTCACTCTTTTCTGTTTCACTGCTTTTGTGATTTGCCACAATTCTATTTTTTAATGTATGCCATTTTACTAGTAAAACAAAGGAAGCATTTGTTCAAATATAACTCTTTTGGGGAAAAAAAATCCCCAGACATTTGTAGTATCTTTTCATTTAAACTTCTAACTAAATCTATTTAATATTATGCCTCTTCCATCTTTATTCGGAGAGATGAGGAAATGTCTTCTGTAAGCACTTACTCCATGGCTGGGTAACATCATCTTCTCCAATGAGGACGTGTTTGTACAATGTGCAGTTAAAGTGAGATTTATAGAAAGTAATTTCTGCTACAGGTGTCCATCATCCAATCACTCTTATTCAGTCTTATTTTAAGTCTTTTCTAATAAATTTACTTTTTACACTGCCTTTTCTCAGATTATGTAAATGTTTTATAATTCCAGAAATTAACTTCTGTACTCAAAGATGAAAACACTTAATAACTTTACCCCACCTCACTTCATCTGTGAAATGCTTAAAGAGAGAAATACTGGTTTTTCAAGGGGAACAATTTTTGTTTAGCATATTAAAGTGTTTAAATGAAAAGCTTTAACCTAAATAAGCCCTAAAAATGGATTTTACTCATATTGTAGCAGTTCTTATGGACTGTTCTCTACCACATCTGATAAGGTACTAACATTTGCTTGATTGTCACTATGATGATAAAAAATTATTCCCAAAATTGTTGTTCATAAATTTTCATGAATCTAATAGTTTGTCAAAGTTGTATAAAATGTTTAACTCCAACTGAAATAATACATAAATAATATATATCTAGCAAGACAAAAAGAGAACTCCTTTCTGTTAGACTCAGTGCAAAATACTAAATTAAGAACAGATGTGATTTTATACTGGCTTAGCAAAAAACTATGTGAACACTACTGAATTATAATTTAAATTTGTATATAGTAACAGTTGCCAACAAAAATAAGATAAAATTCCTATACAATGTGTTGTACAGACTGCATTAAACTCTTTATTATAAAATGTTAAGCTACTATAACTTCTGCATATAAATATGGTTTTTAAATTATCTATTGAGGAAAGGGAACGTAAGTGTCCAGTTTTATTCCCAAATATGTCAAGCATTCTAATCTGACATGTTCATCTACTCCACTAATTTGATGAGGAATTTTTACATAAATTTACAGAATGAGTGGTATGAATTAATACCTGATTCTCTTCTTCAGACCTGTCAAATACTTTGTGCTTGTAAAGCTAGTAACTGTAAAATATCAACATTAATCATAACACAGAATGAACACAGAGAAAATAAACAGCCATTTTACACTGACAGAAAGTCATAGATTTGAGGATACTGACTTCAATATGAAGAACGTAACTGCAAATTTTCTAGTCAAAGTAGACCATTTGTAGGGTTCTAATGTACACATACAGAAGATGAGAAGAATCTCTCAGAGCTTTAATTCTGATTTGCCTTCAAAGACTGCTGTATTTTACTGACCTATAAGTGCTTTTTCTAGCATTTACTCTAGTCCTGTCTGAAGCAAAACTCCTATTAATATATAGGCTAAAATAGTTAAAGTCAGATGAGCCAACTTTATCAAAGGTTTTATTGAATTAACTTCAAAACATTATGACTAGCTAGAAGTACTAACCTATAAGCTAATACTGGTTCCAAAACTCTGTGTTCATTATCTCATGGGAGGAAGCCCAAAAGTTATTTGATTAATCATATAAGTACATTCTGCCAGAGAGGGATATTTGAGGATTGTCTTATCATTTTCTCACTTCAAAAATCTATGAGACTATTAAAGACACCCTGGAATAATTTCTCAGGTCTTTTCCTCTAAAGGAAATGAAAGGATGTTATACATCCAATAAACATGTACTTTTTGGTTAAGGTTCAAACAAAATGAGCAGGATAATAATATTCTTAAAATAGCTAAATACCTTCCAAGCAGTAACATTTTTTAAGGTGCTTACACTTTAACAAGTTTGCCTCTCTCCTGATCCTAGAAATGGAGTTATATTTCAGGATTAAAGATCACTGAATCCACTGAAGTTACAAATAAAACAAGTACATCTGAAATGAAAATCAGGCCTTTAATTCAAAGAGCTAACTCAATAAATAGTATTTGTTTTCCTCTGTGCAGAGCATTTTGCCATATAAGTAAGCATAGCACTTTAGTGAGAGGCAAGCATATATTGTTTTCTAAACATATCTGGAAAACAATGTTGTCATGAAATATTGTATATCGTTTGAGGCATACAAGTTTGCCACATAGAACATGGCATGTATAAGCAATAGTAATCCCCTGACTTTGCCCAAAATGTAATGAGGAATTTGTTCAAAGTCTTATTTTTAGCTGCACCACAGGGAGCAAATTTATCATAAGTGAGGGCTAGTCAAGAAAAATTGTGTCCAGGAGGACAAAGGTTTCTATCTAGCCAACCAGCAAAATAGTTCTGACAGCCCCAGTGTCAATATGTATATTTGTCTGCAAGGTAAATTACTGTGAATGCTAGGTAAACTGAGACTGCGTTGAACTCTTAGCAAAGAAATATAGCCAAAAAGCAATTACCCGTAAAAGACAGAAGAACTTCTAACAGAAGAACAAATACCTAACAGCCTAATTAACAGAATAGCCATTAAGATAAATGAATTCTATTAGTCCTATTTTACAGACAGGAATACAAGTGGCTATATTTCTGTTTCCTCATGATGGTTACTGTTGGGGCTTAGATTAGAAAGGAAGCCTCCCTGAATTTTGTTCAACCACTGTAATTAGCTGTTTGCATTACAGCCTCTACCAGCCAGGATCACACAGCTACTGTGCTATATCTTGTACAAACATTCAGTAAAAAAGGCAATCTATGCTTAAAGAGATTACAAACCCAAAAGAGGAATTGACCAAGCTTTCAGTCACATTCAGTGGAGCTGACTTGTGCACATTGAGCAGGATAAGGAACACAAACTGACAATACTCTGGCTATGCGGAGACCCTGCAAATTTTCCTTTTCCTGTTTAAATAAATACATGGCAAGTATGAAAAGTGAGTATGATAAAGAGCCTTAGATTGAACTAGATACAGAAGATTTCTTCCAGTCCTATATTTTTATTCATTTCTAAGAGGTCTCTTATCCACCTGTTCTTTTCAGGACATTTAAAACAGGTGCGTTCTGTGAGGTAGCTTGAAGGCTAGGATAGTGATTTTGAAAAGTCATCCCACATTATAATACATGCCCTCGGGAAAGTATAAAGGCAATGAGTTTTACATCATTCTCTGACAGATGAGAGAGTCATCTGTCTCTATTATTCATAATAAGGACTAGCACAGAGAACTTAACATATTTGTGCACTTCTGAAATTGAGTTAGAGATTTTAACCTTGAAGAGGGAGAAATCAAAACAATCAAGCTATCTCAAGCTTAGACAAAGAGGACTCTAATAGGAAGCAGAAAAAAAAATAATTAAATGGATTTAAGCAGCTTTCAGATGGACACTGGTCATAAGGAGTTCATTTTGTTATTTTTATTACTGAACAGGGAGTAGACATTATTTTAAGGCAAGCAAACAAAATAGATCTATAGATAAAAATAAGGGGATTTACTACCACTGTATCTCATTTCTTAGGCATAGATTCCTACCATTATTACTTGATTATATTAAAAAGCATAACACCCAGGCAACGAAAGCAATCGGCAGAGATGTATAGTCTGACTTCTTCCCATAAGGTCATGAAATAAGTGAGCCTTATCAAGATCATGGAACTTCTCTAATGTCATGCTCTGAACAAGTGTCAGTGAATAGTCTGTTCTTCTTAAGGAGATTATGAATTCTTCAACTTTTCAATAAGTTTCTTCCAAACAAAATTGGCATTTCCTAGCAAAGAAATTATCACTAAGAAATTGGAAGAGGTTCCATTTCATGAGAAATAGCATGTTAGTCTGGATACACCTTCTTTAGTTTTCTGCCAACTTTAAAACTCGGTAATTGGAAATATATATTGATCTATGCAACAAACTTAGTAATTATAAAAGTGCTTCCTAATGGAATAGTTATTACATTTGCCAAATAAAAAGGCAATGTACTTTTAGAACAATCCTTCTGCAGATCACATACATTGTATATGAATTCAAGCTACCTGAATTTGCTTCTAAAATGTGTGGAAATTTTATATTCTACCAACTTTTCTTAATAGTCTGTTTATTTTTTGAATCTGTGTCTTTTTAAGCTAAAGCTTTTTGTAAATCTAGTTTAATTGTGTTTCAGATGGTAACAACCTTTCGAGTGGCTCTTCTTCAGGTAAATCTATCTTCTAAAATTCTGTCTAATAAAGTCTTTTTATTGCTTTGTTCTGGTTCTATTATTTCAAGATCTCATTACATTTTATATAACTCTAGAAGACTGCAAGTCAAAATATGGCTCTTGCTCCCACTCTCTAAATACTTATTTCTGCAAAACTATGGATATAACAGCAAAACTATTAAATCTAGTATAATTATATGACATATAAAATCCAAATGTAGTGTTGCTTTTCAGCTTATTATCACTGAAAGTTCTTGTATGCAGAGCATAAAAAAAATTCAATCAATACGAGACAAAACGTGCTGCAGAATTTGGTACTGTTATACAAATTCAGTGTTAAAAAATAAAGATAACTTCTCGAGGCTTCATGTCTCAGACAAAGGCAATATTTTTTTTATTCTATGAAGCCTGGCAACCAAGGTGATGAAGGGTTGAGAATTTCTTGAGAACTTGGTTTAATAGATGAAATGAATTCTTCTTTTAGAGCTATCAAAAAACCCACCATATTCTCAGCAAGACTAAAATACTGAGATACCCAATTTTTTTGCATATAATATTTGTTGTAATGCTTGCTATTTTATTACAGTTATTTACCTTTTTCTTCTTTTCCACTTCTGATTATGTCTAAGAAATAAAAATGCAAGAAGTCTCTTTTTTTAAAGGGACCAAATATTATTTTTCTTATGGCTTTTTCACAAAAAAAAACTGTAACTCCTATAATCTTAACATAACAAACAAGATTCAATGTAGCAATATCTCTATCAACAAATGGGAAGAAAACCAGACAGGTAAATGTACAGGGTCATATTAACATCCAAGGATATAACCATTCTGTCTTTTGAGGGAGACCTTGAGAATGTTGTTCAGACTAAATTCACTGGTCAACCACACACAGCATAGCCCTACCTTTAGCCCTAGGCTTCATTCCCTTCCTTTCATGTTTTGACAGGCTGCCTCAGAGGCCTATGTGTAGAGAGGAGGATCTGGAACCATATTGTTCTCTTAGCTGTTCTCCTCTTAGGAGAAGCATAGCCTGAAGACAAAAATGTGCCATCATTGGCACAGAGATAAAACCACTTTCTCACTTAGAATGTAAAGAAGATTGCTGTTACTGATAAAACTCAAGTGCAACCTTAAATTTCAGAGAAAACTAAAAGAACTGAAGTGCCAAAATTAAACCATACCAGAAGATTCAGAAAAAAGTGTGTATGCAGTATCTGAGAATTACAAATTTGAACATATAAAGTTAATAATTGGATATACCTTCCCTTTCCTGTCTGAAAAGAAATGAAGATTATTTCATAGCCACATCATAATTTTCATAATCTTGCAAATCAAGAAAATGACCCACTTATATATGCTTCTCTGCATTTGGGGGGAAAGAACTGAAAAAAAAAACCCAGCAATTGGCCCTTCCTGTAATACAGTAATGCATACAGTACATGCAAGTATTTGCTGCTATTTTAGACTGTCAGCGTTTAGGGATTCCGTTTCTCAAAAGCAATTGTTTCCTTCACTCTATTGCATGAGCTCTTAAATGGTATTTCCAAGTCTTTGAGCAGCAATTTAGTAATTGCCTGTGTCTATATTTCTGATAAACTAGATCCTGAAATTCCTTGACAGTAGACATTCAGTTGTCAGAAAACCTTTCAGCAAAGAGCGGACTCATGCCTCCTTTGTGAATGTAATTTTGCTCATTGTTTGGGGAAGTTTCAGAACAAAAGTATTGCTGAATTAGCCCATGCTTTGGAGGATAGTCTGCCCTAATCAACCTTCTTTACATGCCTTTGTCAAGGAAATCTGTCTCTGTCTAGAATAAGTTGATCTTTGTGAATATATGTGTTGTATTCTTTAATCTTATAGAGTAAAAAAGTAACATTTTGTACTAAAAAATTAGTAGTGTTTCATATTATAACCAAACCCGTCATCCACTGTGATAAAACTATCCAAGACTTGACTTCTTCAACATTCTACCATAGTTAATAGGTTATACTGGCACATGGGCTGCTCAGAGTTTGGGTTAATTTTCAGCCTAGAGCAGGTGGCATGTCGTACCACAGGAAACAGTTATGACAGTTTCTACATTTCACTTAATTTATCTTTTGCAAACTTTTTGTGCATTTGAGTGCATTTGATTCTTGAAATTCTAAATCTAGAGAAGCTTGAGAGTTTACTAGACGACTTATCTGAAAGCAGCTTCAGATACTGGTTTCTGGGTACTTACTTCTCTGCATCATCATGAAAGTAACAATGCTACTAGAGATGCTACAAAAAAAGACTGAGCAATTCTTTGAGGAGCCATCATGACTTCCCAGCTGCTGTCTCTTAGGGCTACCTTTCTGCAGTGGTCAGGATAGGAAATCAGGAATCCCATATACATTGACATGGCTGAAACAGAATTTGGGATAGCACATAGCATCTACCAGTAGTCCTAAAAATACTAAAGAAAATGTAGTGAAAGTACAGCTGTCTTGGTTGTAGGCGTTTCTCCGAATTTGCCACTGTGTCTAGTATGTAAGTATCCATTTTTCATCACTAGAAGTTTGAGCAGTACCTTCACTGTAGCAAGGCAATATTCAGACCAAATATCATTTCCCTTCCTTGTTACAGAATGCTTGCACAGAACAGACAGTGGATTAACTTGCCATGCAAATGTATTAGGCTACTAAAAATATCTTCTTATATGTTTTTACTGGAATACGCCACTTTCAAAATGAAATTTGTGTTGATGTGGCAGGAAATTTGCAAACGTGATCATAACTGTTGATAAGGTCTTTGAACTGTCCTGGGTTCAACTGTCATTTTTTCACTCCTGCAGAATTCTATATGATGGTATATAGTGTTTAAGAATTGCAATTTTCCATCAATGTTAACATTTCCCATTTCAATACTTACAGAAAAGCAAGACTATTATTTTTTCTTATAAAGATGGGGGTTTTCCTACACTTTTTCACAAAACCATTAAACAAAACATTTTATTAATATAAATATCTTCTCCTTTGATCTCCCCAGAAATTAAATAGAAATAAAATATAAACTCTTTCGGGAGGCAAGAAAAGTCAATTTGAACTTGGGACTTTGGAGATAACTATGTCTGCAAACAGTTTAGAAGTGTCCTTTCTTATCTGCAGTATATTTTTGGACTGAGTTCTAGTATTTAGAAACTCTAAGGGTTAGCTGAGCTAGCACAAGGAATAAATGCAGCTAACAGATTATCTCATTTGCATATTGCTTATTCAGAGAAGCAAGGTTTGAAAGGAGGAGGTGGAACATAAGCCTGGAATTGTGACTCAGATTCAACTACTTTCTTCAGTTGCTCTTAGCAAGCCGCTATTATACAAATTTCTGACTCGGCACTAAGAAGAACTTGGCAATCTAGTCTCCAACTTCAGTACAATATAAGGATTTTAATGTAACATTATCTGTATATTTATGGCAAATAGCTAGTTGCATCTCAAAAACGTTTTAGTATCGTAAGCCAAGATAAATCTGCTCTGATATCATAGCTACACAAAGCAGGAGTTGTCCACTTTCAAACAAAAGATTTTCACCCATACTCAGTATGCCAGGAAAGCTTCCACTTACTTTTCTAGTATGCACTGGGACAGTGGGCCTAAGGCCATGGATTTTCTTCTTGACAAATTGTAATATTACTGTACTGAGTAAGGAAGTGTAACATAGACCAGACAAATTCTGAATGGGCCTCCTGGTAACTTTAGCTGCAGTACTGCAGGAGAGAACTGGATTTCCAACGTCATGTAGCTCATTATCTATGCACTGAAGAAGAGTAACAGTACTCCTCCTCTAAAGCATATTCAAATTAAAAAATAGAAATAGGGATTTTAACTTTGAGACCATTTATTACAGTTAAAGAAGAACAGCTCATTTAAGCTTTCTATTTTGTGCCCAAGAGTCTTAGCAAGAAGCAAAATTCTCGCTGAGTATTCTTTCCAGCTGAACTGCAGTTAGACAGCTAAATCAGTAATGCAGTACAACATGGTCATATTAACTTGGTGAAGCAGAAAAGACCATCTGCATCACCATGAATATGACTAAAACAGAGTGCCAGCAAAAAGCCTTTAATTGTGTCTAATGCCAGAAAACCTTATGAATGGTATTTTTAAGTTCAATGTAATTGATGAAAAAATAATTATAGTATTTGTTTCACTTCTGATGCAATAAGCTTTCAAAATTGATTTATAAACTGCTTTATAACTCAATTCTGCATGCATTTTAAAATAATATTTTTTTATATACTTTACTAATTTCAATTGTAAGCAATTTGCTAAAGTATACTTAGTAAGTAAAAGAAATACACATGTTCCCAAAGTGCACTCTGCTGATTATCACTATGCAGACTGAAAATTGGCACCTCTAGCTGCTGTTTAAAACATGCATGACTCTGGTTTTATGTCACAGAGATTTTTGCTTGCTGTACTGTTTGCATGTATATGCATTGGTGTAATAGATTCAATGCTAAACACTGGAATTTAACAAGCTTTTTCAGAAGCTGTCAGGAAAAAAAAAAAAGAAAAATTGCTACATGGATTTATACTTTAAAGTAGGGGAGGAAAGGGTGGAAATAAATGCCTGGATTTCTAAATACTGAGATGTTACAGGTAGACTCTCCCTGGTTCTTTATTATTTAACACATTTTTAATTACTTGGATAAAAAATATGCAAGCAGTGAGGGAAGAATGTTTGCAGATATCACAAAATTATTCAGAATATGATATGAGATTTACAGACATATCCTATGATACTGAGCGGCCGAGTGTTAAAACAGGGAACAAAATTTTTTACAGACTAATAATAGACTAATACAGACTAATAATACAGACTAAATTATCTGTTACCAATCAAGAAAGAAATCTCTCAGTTTTTGTGAAAGTATCTAAAATCAGCACAGGCTAGGAAGGTAACTCAAAAAGGCAATCAAATATTAGGAATTACAAGGAAAGGAACTAAGATCAAATCAAAAGCCATTATGTCACTACACTGATCCCAACTCTGGAATTACCTCAGGTCACTGTCAAAATTGCATGCATTAGAAATGAAAAGGAAGTAAGAAGAGTGCAAAGGATGATCAGAAGTACACAATACAGTTACAGTAGCATTCTTCTGCTTGGAAAGGAGGTATACAAAGAGGAATGCAATAGGTGTATAAAAAGCTATAAACACTACTGAGACTATAAAAAGGGAGCAATTAATAGCTATTTTTCTTATCATAAGAACCACCAAAGCAACAGGTTTATAGCAAGCAAGGGGAAGTACTTATTCACAAAGGAATGCCAAAAATTATGGAACTGTTTCCCATAGGATCCTTTACAGGTAAAGTACAACTGTGTTTCAAAAACATTGAAACAAAATCATGTAAGGTACACCAAACATTCAGTTCCAACACAATAAAAGTTTCTAACTGCAGATAGACAGAAACTGAGTAAGTTTACTGGGAGAAATAACACAGTGTGGTAGCTCTTAAACAATGTACTAGATGGACCTGTGGAGTCAGGTAGTATAGCAACTTTAGCTCTTACGCAGGTTTTCCTTTAACAAGTGCAGGGCATTCTCACTTTCATTCACTTAGAATTTAAAATAAATTAAATACTAAATATATAGGACATTCATTTTAAAATATTAAATGATTCAACTGTGTCATCAGTTGCACTACACTTACTGTTGGGCATAGGCACCAACGAAAGACTTTCAAAACATTTCATTATGGGAAGATAAGTTTTAGTGCTAAATATTAATGAACATTAGCAAGTTACGAATGCTGGTGGTTAAAACTGACTGAAAAAAAAATTAAATGTTATCCAAAACAGAAGTTCTTATCCTAGTAAGGGGGAAAACCAAGACATTTCAAAATGTCCTCTGAAAAATAATGTTGCTGTTGATTCACTGTGGAAAACACTCATGTAGCAGTGTTGAGCAACAAGAAGTTATTATATAAGTCAGACTTGTTTATGCAATGGCATCTGGTAATTTCAATTATTTTATTTTTTTTGTTCTTAAAATATTTCTTTCTCTAAATTATTTACTATGCTTTCTGTACATCAGAAGTCCCTGTGCCTCCATCTGCGAGTTGTGTTACACTATACCTTAAAATATTTGCTATCTGGGTTTATGTTTTTTATGAGAGATAGTCTGTAGATTTTACAGTTCTTTCCTTATATTTTCTTTATTTGCACTATATTTTACACCTCCTCTCAGCTATTGACATTTCTTACCACTACCTCCCCACAGCAGGGCAATTGGATCTAAATGATCTTTAAGGTCACTTCCAACCCAAACCATTCTATGATTACACAAAGTTGTTTGTTAGTTTTCCACACATTCAGAATAGCCTACCCTGCTATTCAATATACCAAGCCCGACTAAGTCCACTCTCATGCAAAGTACAAAAGATAATTGCATTATACAGGTGCAATTGAGGCTTGAGAGCTGTGTCACGGTTTTTTTCTTCCTGCATGTTCCTTTTCATTTTAAACTCATTCAAAGTACACATTTCATTCAACTGTAAGATGCAAGTATTGGAAAGGATTACAATAAAACTGTTACACAACTTATTTTTCTTCCCTGAAGGATTAACACAAGTATCTTCCTGATTAATTTGTAGCAAATACATCAGCAGTTCACTTTTAAGCACACAGAGTTCCACTAATAACAGAGTCCACAAATACCTATTACAGGACAACAGCTACCAAGCAAAGTAGTTTGATGTGTTCTAGCAGCCTTTTATAGATTTATAGATTTTTAATTTAGAAAGGACTATCAGAAATGATACCTTCTCTCTTTTAAAAAGAGGGCTGCAGAATAAATGCTGCTAACCTTATCCTGAGTTCAGTAACTTGGGTCTGACTGAAATATTACATCCTTTAAAACCATGACTGTAACAAACTTACAGCTAAATAATATTTCCATATTTACACATCCCATTGCTAAACATTGTAATTTATTAGGAATAGGTCAATTATTTATCGCTATAATTATGCGTGTTGACTGTGTTTGAAAAAAAGGCAATTTTCATGACAAGAAAATAATGTAATATTTTCTTCTTTTTTATGTATTGACATGTAGGCAGACTTCTTGGGTTCCGGTTACCTGGATTGAGACTTTTAACATACAGAAAGCAGTCTTTACCACAGGAAGACCCCGATGCAGTGATAGTCGATTCATCTAAGCACAGTGACGACTCAGTGGCAATGAAGCACTTTAAATCACCTACAAAAGAAAGCTGTAGTCCTTCAGAAGTGGATGATACAAAAGCACTAATTCAACCCAGTAAATGTTCACCTTTGGTTAATATATCAGGACCTCTTGACCATTCATCACCTAAACAGCAATGGGACAGACTTTACCCTGATATGATACAGACAAGCAATCCGCTAACCCATTCCAGATCAAAGGAAAGCATTTGTAGCATACGGCGAGCGTCTTCAGTACATGACATAGAAGGCTTTAACGTCCATCCCAAGAACATTTTTAGGGACCGTCATGCAAGTGAAGGTATGGTAGAAAGTCAATCTAGTATTCCCTGAGTACTAAGAAAATAATTATCATTACTTTGTAAGCAAAACTAAATATAATCACCTGTAACATTCTAAGCCACACTAAAAATATTAAGGTCCCAAATATACCAGGTTTATTTACACCAAATACTGCTTTTCATGTCTACACAGACTAGTGAAATCAAGGGGCTACTCACAGTACCATCTGCCTTCTCTATGCAATATAGCAAAATAGGGCCCAACCTTCCTAAAGCTAATATTGGTATTGGGGAGGGGGAAGGGAGGAAGTCAGGTTATCAAGTTAAAATTGTTTGCATAGTTCTGTCCCATAATCTCATATATTAGATTATCTTTGATGAAACACTACTTCAGAGATTGAACAGTGTTTTTTTCTTAAATCTCTAATGTGTTCCTTTTTATATTCACCAATCCAACACTTAGATGTGATTTTCTCTCATACTGGACAAAATATCTTTAGCAACTCCACTGAAATACTTTGTGTAATACTTAGTGAAATACTCAATGAAATGGCAAAATACTTAGCGTAAAAGTCACGTTAAGTGTGATTTTCTCTTTGTGTTAGTACGCTCTTACAACCAGCAAAATTTACAATGATGTATTCTCTGTCTTCTTTTTCTACTGTCTCTCCTAATTATACAAACTCATGGAGTGTGGTCCATGATTTCTTGTTAGAGATGGGGAGTTTGAGAAACCTGGAAAAACAGCTTAGCAGAGGTTTGAAAGCCTTGTGAATGGAGAGGCACCTCTGAAACTAGCTTTTGCAAAAAAAGTGCCACATATACAATACTTTAGCAGCTACTGATGGTCTAATGACTCAAATTGTGTAATTTTTATTCAAGCCAGATGACAAGAAATATATGGGGAGTATTTTAAGATTTCAAACACATATGTCGTGGAAGACTGTGTGCAGATACACAAATAAGCAAGAAAATGAATTTTCACTTTCAGTGATTGCCTGTTTTTCTCCTATACATTGACTGCAAATATAAAATTCCTTTAAGTTCTCCTGCTTTCCAGAAGATCTGCATCAAGTGCTCTTTGCTTCTGTACATCTCTTAAAATATAAGTCCGAATGCTTCCCTGCCACCCAGATTAACTCCTAGAATAGCAGAACTAATTATTCCATCCAGTTACTCTTCCTGTATTAAATATAATGGTTAAATACATCTTTTCTAATTTCTGTTTCTTTTGGATGCTGATTTTTGTCAATTCAAATGAACCCCAAAATTAAATTAAATCCATCCCAAACCATACCATTTTGCTATGTTTCATGTTCACATTCAAGCCAAGATTTCGAAATCAGGATGTGGAGAGTTGAACCTTGGCCTGTCTTTTGGACCACTGCGTAAGCTTTATCTTGGGTTCAATTGACACAGATATATAAAAAAAAAAAACAACATTCAAATAAAACATATTTAAAGATATCTGTTTTGTCAATTTTTATTTTCAGAACTTATTTTCATTACAGCACTGCTCAATTGTTCAATCTTCATATAGTTCTATGACAAAAAAGTGTAAAAATAAGTTTCTTTGGTTATGGTGGTACAAACCTCATGCAAAAATAACCACATAATTTAATGCTAGCTGCATTGAGAAGCAAAAATTTCTAGCTTTATTTCACTGAGTAATGTTTTTTCAAATGCTAAAAACTAAGTAAAATAAATTTTACTATGAGGAGTAAATAATTCATTTGAATTCCTATGGTCTCTCATGTAATGTGATAATTTACAGTGTAAATTGATAAAGCACTGCCACTCTGACTTCACTCTTCATAAGCTACAAAATAGTATAGAATTTGGCCCTAATTTTTGGTCATACATGCATATTCTAAGACAGTACAGCAGGACAGAGTATGGCTGTCAGAGTTGCATTAGAATTAGTAACCATACTTGTTGCCATCTGCTTCCAAGCATATTAGAATTTGGCACCTTATGCTGAAAAGATGTTTAAATTTAGCCAGCAAGTCCTGCTTGCCTTACTCAACAGTGAGCCATAAACCCCTATTGTTGCTAAAAAAATTATCCATGTAAGTTAGGCAACCAAGATTCAGCCTAAGTCATCTTCTCTGGACTCAAAGATTCTGAGCAGAAGTTGAAGATACTGCGCTGGAGGATGTAAAGACCAAAGCAAAAGTAAAATACAAAAAGCAAAAGTAAACTACAGTCCCAGTGAGCTAAATTACTACACAAGGAAGCATAAAGTTTAATATATTTTCCATTCCATTTTTATTTTGTTTACTGATCCTAACAACGGTGATTTTTCCTGAGTCCACTGAAAACTACTATTCTGTCTGAAAACGCAGTTCAGGACTGCATTTAATTTTTTTTCCACTTCTTCCAGTTCAAGTAATATTAGTTGAACCAGTATAATAGAATTCTGACAGAACAGCATTATTTAGCTCAATATTAACTACAGTAATTCACCCATGGTCAAATTTTTTTCTTGCAAGATAACGCAATTGAGAATACAAATTATTTCATGTGTTAAATTAATTTGTGTAGCCTAGTCGCCTATCACTGTAAAATTATCATAGCTGTGGCACTTATATGCTGAAAGGTATTACAGTAAAAATGACAATTTAGGATTTTAAATTCATTTGAGTGTATTCAATTGAATTCCATTCTAAATTTGCCTATTTACAGCAAAAGAAGCAGGGCAGGAACTGTGTCTCCCACCTACCACCCAAACTCCAAGCAAGCCCTTCTCACCTGAAATGCCAGCAATCCAGATGTTGCAGGCTTGTACCTGTTCACAGGACTCTTCAGAAAGTTTGTTCTCTTCAGAAAGCTCCCTCAGCAACATCCCTGCAGTCTTAAAAGAAAAAGGAGGGGGGGACACCAAGCTTTTGAGCCTAACTCAGCCTACAAAATCTGCATTACAGCTCAGTGTCCCAAACTCCCTGGTCCATGGGAAGCTGAGGAAAACCAGAGAGGCAGCAGGTGTGACATAACACCACAGACAAGGCCCAGATTCATCCCAGTTCCCCTCACAAGCAAAGGCCATAGCCTTTCTCCAGAGTGGGGCTGAGGCTAGACCTCTGCAGGGACAAGCCTGCTGCTGGGGTGGACAGGGGCACAGTCACCTCAGCCCTCAGCGGTGGCCTACCAGCGGGGCAAAACTGCAGGTGAATGTCAGTTCGAGCCCAGTGCACCTTTGAAAGCCGGCAACCTGTTCACAGTGGCCAGCGGCACAGAGGGGCAGGGCCATGTCCTGCGACTGGCCTCGGCTCCTTCGCTACCTCACCCAGCATTATATCCATTCTGAGCTGCAGGAGCCAGGTAGGGGGGGCCTGTGGGCCACCTTGTACACCCGTGAATAGTGGTGGTGCTTACCTATCCACACGTGTAGCTTCTTTACAAAAATATTAAATAATAACAACAAGAACAATAATATTCTCCCCAAAGAGGGTTGATGTCATGAGAGGATTCAGGGGTGGGTGTGCCTGTGAGGACAGAGAGCTTTCCCACTGCTACCTTGCAGAAAGGCACCTAAGAGCTGAAGAAGCTTTTAAGATACATCTTTCTCCTCAGTGTTGCCCAGAAAGGTGCTGCTCAGCTTGCTGCTGTGTTAAAAACCTTTCTTCCTGCAGGTCATGAGCATGCATGGGGCCTGTGTAGGGCCACCTGCACAGCCCCACACCCATTCAGTCATCCAGTTTGCACTGCCACCTGCAGCTGGGGTGCCTCAGCCAGTCCTACTACCTGCTGATCTACAACAAACAGTTCTACAGATTATCTCTCAGCTGTCAAAGTGATTTCATTTTAACTAAAAGTCTACATACATATTTTGAAGCAATATTTTCTGCTTTTTCTGATGTAGATTTTAGTTGTCTTTTTTTTCTCTCTTTTTCTTCACTTTTATTATGCTGAAACCCAGATAATGGTCGCAATGTCAAAGGTAAAGTATACATCTAGACTGTACCTTCCAGTGTTTCAGACAGCCACACTTTATGGCATGTTACTTTGCCTGCTGTATGAAATGTTCAAATGCAACATTCTCATTCTGATTTCTCTAGGGCCAAGCGCATCATTTAAATTATGTTTGTTAAACATGTAGTTATTCCCTTAACTATCCTTTGAAAGCACTAACTACCAATCCCTGGAAAAAGTGAAGGCATAGCTCTTAAATGGCCATCTGACTTAATTATCAGTTCATTCCAAAAAAAGGAAGGGAGAGAGATAGAACATATCATAGTTCTTTACCTCAGTTATTTAACTCAGGTAAAACTTCTATTGAAGCTACTAGGAGTTTTCCTGTCAAAGTTGGGCGGGAGCCACTAACAATCTGTTGGTTTAAGGTGCTTAGTTTTCAGTTAATTATCTCAAAAATGAAGTAGTTGGTAATCAGAAGCCTTGTGGAAGTATCTTCACTTATTCCTCCTTTCTCTCCTTAAAACTAGTTTCACGTTCTTGGATGGCAGGGGGTATGGTTTCAAGCTTCATGTAGTATTAAAATGTGCATGCATGAACTTCATTGCCAATTTCATGTATAAATAATATTTAGTGCAGTTTTTCCTATTCACCAGCACTGAGCTACGTCTTTTGAACATATTTTTAAGTGATTTCCTCCATTTCTAGAAAGCAATTCAGAACAAAAGTATTCAGTTTAATTGCAATGTTTGTAGCTATGTCTGAAAACTGGTTTGTGACTTCATGCATGATGCAAAAAGTGTGTGTACCTAGTAAAGTCTTCTCTCTATAAACTGCATGCAGTGCATGACCTAGATTCTGTAAAGCAATTTGTGGACTACAAAATCATTGCATTTGCTTCATGTGTATGTTGGCAAAATGTTGTGGGGAAAAAAAAATACAGTCTCTGTAATCTAAAACAACTTTTATAAATGTCTTTACTGATGGTGGAAGATGATGGATTGACAGCTCAGGAGAGTGAAATCAATTCTCAATGCATTGTGAACGCAGGGACAATGGAATCCTACTGTAAAAACTTAAGTTCAAACTTAACCTTAAAGAATCTCCTTTGTAGGGTAGGCAGAAACATGCCATTCTTCCTGCTCATTCAATTTTTGGCCACTCTGCTGAAACTGTCAATCAGGATGCCAATTAGTGTCAACTGTAATTGTGATTTGTTATTGCCCTCTTTTTCTGCTTCTGCTATGAGAGAGACTAGCAAAGGCCCACTACCTGTCAAGTACCAGCTCAATAGCTGCCAGCCTGGGCTCTACTTAAGCTAGTAATGTCTTTCAATTAATTACCATTATCAATGAGATACATACATACCTATCACCACTTTCTAAATCAAAAGAAGGTGGAAAAAAAACCCAAGGTTTTATTCCCATGTGCAGTTAACTTAAGTCTAATGTCACAGGCTAGAGCATGAGTTTTAGGTAGCAAAGGAGAGAATAATTCCCTTTGGAATAGAAGCAATAAAAAATTTAAATCCCAGAAAAGAAAGCTTCAATACCATTTAAACATCTATAAAGTTACTATTAAAAAAATAAATCTTCTACTAATTATGGATTTGCCTAAGCTCCCTTAGCTTCCTCTTACCTTTGAGTTCCCTAAGTATCAAGAATTTTGTTCACCTAACAAACGGCCCCAAAATGAGACCAAGCTCATGTCTAAACCTACTCAATATTCAAAAATTTTTAATTGCTATAACTATGTAGGGAAGTAGAGTTGAAAAGCTGCAATCTGACCCTACATGCATAACACACACCAGCCAGATTAGCCACTTCACTAATTTGTGAGGAGACAGCCCTGATTTATTTTGAAACCCACTTTTGTACAGACTTATGTAGATGACGTAAAAGATAAATTCAAGTTCTACCTGGGCCAAAAGATGTCCAAGCACAATATTCCAATTCCTTGGCACTGTCCTCAGTACCAGGCTTTTTAGGATTGCTTGTGGAAGAAAAGTAGTGCTTTCTTCCTTTTTCCAGTGAAACTGCTCCAAAAATAATATACTAGGTTCATTGGCCTAAGGAGGAAAAGAAGAACTGATTTTGTAGTTTAGTGGTTAGAGCACTTACCCACAACTTTTTGTCTATCTCACATCAGATGATCCTTGGACAAAATAAAGGAAGTCTTGAGAACGGAACCACTGGATTGCTCTCTCCCAGGAGAGTACTCAAATCGTTATCATGCTACCCTTGTTATCTCGAATTCCTTTCTGCACAGTGGCTAAATTGAAAATGGAGTAGTAGCAGATTTCTATCGCTAGCCCAGATTAACATAAAATTAACATGAATTTAAGAGGTAGAAAACATGTGTATAAATCCTTCTAAGCTAAGAAAGCAAATAAAAAGAAGAAAAAAGAAAAAAAAAGATGTAAAATTCAGCACTGCCTGATATATTTCCCTCCAGCTATCTGCAGGCAGCTGGTTGCTTTGAATTTCACTTGTTCACACATTACAAACACAATGCAGCTGTTCTGCTGTTGACTCTGCAGTTTACCCCAAAGGCCAAATCCTGTCCCACTGGCTATTCCTTAATCATAGCAGCCATTCTTGTTTCCCTCTAGGCAGACCAAAAAAAGCCCCCTCAAAACACTCAAAAGGAAAAGCATCACATTTTTGCCTGTAATAGTAGTAGGATGCAGTAAGATTCTCGTGTGGATCTGAGAAGTACTGTTGGATCCCAGACACAGACACATTGTAACTGACTCCAACACCTGGATTTTTTCTTAAATACGTAACAGGATCCAGTTCTCACTGCCTAAACTTCTTCATAGTTCTTCTGTTACCAGTATTACTCTCAAAAGAAAATCTTTCTTGCTGTGAGTACCTTTGGCTTCTGGACCAAAATTATGAAGAAAGTACAAAACAAGTATTCTAATCTGTTGTATTGTTTTCTTGTTGCACAAAGAACTCTGTCCAATATTGAGAAGAATAATTATAGTGGATATGTACCTCATAAAGTATACAAACTCTGCATTTTTTATCTATCACGAGGCACTAAAGTAGTATGTTTAAGTGTATATTAAATACTCCAGTAATATTCTACATAAGGGTATCCCTATTGTTTTCAACATTTTGCTGGCAATGACAATTGAAGAAATAAATTTTGTGAGTTTGTGACATGCCAAAACTAAAGGCTTTTAGGACAATGCGAGGTTAATATTTTTATTGGTTAAGTATGGAGTTACTTGATGAGTCAACAGGGGTAGAGCAGAGGTCTACTCAATTTTCCAGTTTACCGAAAGGTGTTTCTAACTATCATGTAAGCATGAGCAACAGTACAGATGTGATAATAGAGCCCTTGCTCAGTCCAGACATATTTATATAACTGTATCTCGTTTCCACTTTTATAAAGAAATGAGAATATAGCCTTTATGTTCAGCCAGCATTACAATGGAGCATACCAGCATATCCAGTAGTATAAAAACAAGTAAGGCTGGATGCATTGCGTACTTTGTAATCCACTGACTTTTTAAAAAATATTGAGGGCTCTATGTAAAGGATTTTTTATATTTACATCCAATACTAGATTTGATTCTCATTAGCAACAGAGTTATTTTTAAAATGTAGATAATTTGTAAAATTATTTATTAACAACTATCTATCCCTTGTCATTTTGACATATTCCACTTAAACATTAATGATAATTTATTTCTCTGGATTTGTCAGATACTGAGTGTATGTTCTTATTTTTTAGGGCCTTTTAATCATATCAAGTCAAGTCTATTGGGATCCACATCGGATTCAAATCTCAACAAATACAGTACAATCAACAAAATTCCTCAACTCACACTGAACTTTTCAGATATCAAAAGTGAAAAAAAATCTTCATCTCCTCCTTCTTCGGAGAAAGCGATTATTGCACCTAAGGTGAAAGACCGAACGCACAATGTAACAGAGAAGGTTACCCAGGTAAGGTAATACCCATTATTTTAGTCCCTTTTCAGTTTTGTGGAGGCAATTAGCAGTGTATTTAGTAGATTGATACTTTTTTTCATGAATGATTTGCATATTTAAAAGACAATTTGGAGGGCTTAAGTCATTACTTATTTTACCTCCAATTCAGTCACACATGAAATAGTTCATGTTACATGATACTGCTAACAAACTTCATTTTTTTCGTCTGTTTTTCAATGATAAAAGCTGCACAAAGTGCTCCAAATAAGTCCACTAATGTCAGTGATTCCTGTCGTTCATAAATGTTAGTTTCATTCTTTTTTCTTTTTCTCAGCTTTACGAATTACTGACTAGTGCAAAGCACATCAGGATAATACATGTCAGTGATTGTGCCACTATTATGAGGATCGCAATTACGTCTTGTAATTTCTGTCCCATTTCTTTGGCTTCTCATAATGCTCTTTCCTGTGCATCCCTTCTACATGTGTATATCAAAAAGGCTGTTAAAATGGAAAGCAGATACCTGAATGGACTGAATATATGATATATTCTGTCATACTTGGCAATGAGGCATACAATTGAAACAAAACTGAAAACAATTCAAGATAGCATATTTCTTCACTCTAAAACAGATACAATGCCCTCTGAAGGAAATAGAAATATTCAGCTCTATTCAGTGTCATTATTACATTTGTGTTGTAATGTATGTGGAGATTGGCTAGGACAGGTTACCGAAGTACAGCATACTGAAAAAAAATATTAAGACATGACAGTATCATAGAATCATAGAATAGTTAGGGTTGGAAAGAACCTTAAGATCATCTAGCTCCAATTATAGCCTTAGTAAGCAGAGTGTCGGCCCTGGAAATCATCCACTGACAGGCGGAAAGAAGTTAGTAGCGCTTTGTATTAGAATGAAGATAGAGATTGTATAAGGAAGATCTTGTCAAGAGCAGCTTTTGACTTACTGCTGATCTGCCTTCAGAACAGGCTGCAGCTTCTCTGCAGTGGTACTAGGCCAGATGTTGTCCATGCTCTTAGTCCTTTGATGGGTATAACAAGGAATGTATTGTACACCCTCCTAGAGAAATAGAGATAAAAGTTCTACCAGTTCTATTTCAAGATCAGTTACTACCTAAAAAGTAATTGGATTTTTATCTTTTATATATTTTGTCTTTGATACATAACTTGAATCTGCAACCATTGTGCTTTTTTCCCTGGACAGTTGTGAGAGATTTGATCACTTCTGGATCCATTTTGATATGTTTTAAATTATTTATCGTAGTCATACATAAAAATCTTTTCACAGATACTATGGCAAAAAGTCAAGCTTGGTTAAAAAAAATAATTTTTCTAAGTAAGCATAAGCCAAGCTTGATTTATTAGTTAGCTGTTTTTTTTTTTCTTTTCAAAATTCTAACTGGATATTTAGTGCCAGAGTGCCAAGTTTCTATGTACTAATGAAGCTGTTATGGATAAAATTAAGTAAATGAATGAATGAATGAATAACTAACAAGTATATTTATTCTCCAAACAACTTAGGTGTTATCAAAAGTTCCAATATAAATGGCTTGGATCAGCTAAACTTTCCAGAAACATTGATGCTAACAAAATTTAATAATTATAAAGAATTTCTCACAGCTGTTCCTTTTTTCTTTTATTATATTCAGTTATCAATGGTTCTAGTTGCAACTGCAGCCTAAACTCTAGGATTAGGGAAGAACTCCTAGAAGATATAAATAAATTTAGGTCTACTGAATTTGATAATCAAAGATCTAGTTATCTAGTTATTAATGAAATAGATTAGAAATAGACATTTAGAAGATGAAAGTGGTTTATTTTAGTCCTGTTTATGAGTCCTGTTTATGCTTCTAATCCCCAGTGATTTCAATATGTTTTATCAGAGTCAGGCTCTGATAAACTTTGAAGGCTTCACTGCATGTCTGCCTGTAAATCTCTTCATAAAACTCTTCATAGGCCCATAGATCCATTTTGTATCTGCAGAATAACGCAAAAGTGGTTTTGGAAGGTTCTAGCACGGTGTTTAAAACAGAATATGGCAGAAATGTCAGATGAGATAATTAAAATATGTTCACGCTGACATAGTCCACGTAAATCTTTGAAACAGCATCAAAAATGTACAGAGGGCAATATGATTATAGAGTGGCCATGGTAAGTTAAAAGATCACCCGTAATCAGAGTAGTGACATTCTGAAGTAGTCTTCTAATAAAAGAAATTAGTGCAGGAATTCCAAATGTTGTCAGAGCCTGAGAAATATAATGAAGGGATAGATAACATGATGTGCTTCTCTGGTATTGCAGGACTTAGTGACATGGAAGGTCACTTCCAGTCACATATTGCACCATTCAAATATCCATCCATCTCTCTTTCTGTACTCATTTTTTGGTATTTCTCACCTTTTTATTTTCTCATCTTTGCTGAGTAACTTGGTATTTCTGCTATAACCTGATATTTCCACTACTGCAGCTCCTCTCACTGTGCAACTGTAAATACCAAGACATGGACTCTGGTATGCACCACACTAAGGTATCAGTGATCCTTGCATCTGTATCACTGCACTCTGGATTCTCTCTTATGCATCAATAATATCACAAACTAAGCATCAGCAGCACAGAAAGAAGTTTTTCTTTCCAGGGATGACAGACAGCTACCATGCACTGTGTGGAGAATTCAGGTAGTGAAACAGTGAAAAAGGAGGGGATGGCATATAGCTACCTTCAGAAGGTAGAGGAAGAATAATGAATAAAGTAAATAAAAAAGACATAGCCACTGTGTTTAAAGCAAGTGATACAGATTCAGAAAGCAGTTAAAAAGAAGTGAAATGCTTCAGCAGTAAGATTGTAGTGAAGTAAATTAGGAGCAAACTGGAGAGTAAAGTTTAGAAAATAATTTTGGAAGGAACAGATGATGTTGTGGGCCAGTGACTGATAGTTTCAGTGACAAATATGAACTTTGAAATGCAGGTGGAGATAACAAGATTTCACTACACAATTTAATAAATAATTAGATAGAATCTTCAGCATCTTACCTTTTAAATAATACAAAAAAAAAATGAATCTCTTCAAAAAGAGCTAGGTTATAAATTCTAATGCAAAGACCCTCCCAGTATTGTCATACTACTTAGCAGGAATGTTTAGGACATTATAAAAAGAAGAAAATTGCCTTAAGATATAGCCTGCAGGGAAGTTCTGCACATGGGATGGTCCTGAATAAGTAGATACCTCAATTACTTGGCCTTTCACCTCGGTCTTTGCTGATCAAAACAAGTAGCATAACATCTTCTGGATGCCCATTTCAGTATAACAATGACTTTTCCTCAGAAGACTAGCCCAGTAATAGCTGCCATATAAGACCTATTGAAAAATTGGCATTGTCGTATCTCAATGTAGACATATGTCACTAAAGTAAAATTTAAGTTTCAAATCTGCTTTACTAAAAGCTTTTTCTTTTAATGTTTCACATTATAATTTCCAGAGGTGCTAAGCTAGACTCTCTTCTAAAAGAGTCTCAACTTACTTTTTAAATTTTTTTTTATTATTATTACTTTATGTTATTTTTTTATTATACAGTCTGTTCAGGGCGCAGTACAATTTCTGCACTCTTCTGCACTGACAGGTTCATTTGGGGTCCTGACACTGATTGTTAGAAAGAGACACGTCTTTCCTGAAGTATAAAAAGTAGACTTTTATTAAACAAAGCAGTGGGACAAAAATTTGCCATCTGAACCGTAACATTTTTGATGAATTCATAAAGAAGACTCCTCACCTTCCAATTACAGTGTGTATATGTGCAAGAGTAAGCAGTTTTATACTCTGTTTAATACTGATCTATTTTAAATGTTCTTACACATGCAGTTCATGCTGATTTATGACTCCAAAGCTGTGAATGCTATTGTGGACAGACTCAGAGCATCATGAAGATTACATATGTAGTACATAGATAAGCAGTACGTTTGCTTATATTCAAAGAAAAGAGAGAATTCCTGCATACCCATAGATTAACACTGGCAACAAACTATAGCTGGACTAGTTAATAAGCTTATAAATTATCTCTTTGTTGTGTAGTTTAAGAAAAACTGTTTTGTGGGCCCTGATCATTAACGTTCAGAGATTATTGATCTCTTTGAAATTTATCACTGTTGAGATATAACATGTGGTTGAAAGACCTAGTGTGTGTCTGTTGTTTATGATTTGTCTCAATAACTGACTTACAGGGATGTAAAACTCTATGATCCTTAATCATCTTGTAAATAATACTTTTAAAATCGGTTTCATCATCCACCACCTATAGGAAATATATACCGAAACTGGTTATATGGCAGAACTATAAATATATACCTTAATGGACTACACTGATGATTTGAGAATGTAATCTGATTTGCAGGCACGCTGAACACCCACAGCTCTTCTGTCCTCTCAGTGAAGGTTGAAGTTACGTATGAAGTAACAGACATTGTAGTTTCACTGCATGTTTTTGTAATCTGGCCAGACTCTATTCTGCTCCCCAAAAGATTAAGAAATAAGTAAAAATATCCCCCTAGGCCAGTCTCAGCTATCGATATAAAAAGAACTATTATGTGATCATGACTTCAAACTGACCTTCAGGTTTTCAGTCTAAAAGAAGACTAGCAGGATCTAGGACAGAGAGGAGCAATATAAGACCTAAATATAAATCAAATTATTGATCTATACTTTTTCAGCAGTCTGATTCAGCTGACACACTACGCTGTTTACAACATCATGCAGTAGCTCACACAAACAACATTTCAAGACTGTTCATTTTGGAATGCAAGCTGACCTGAAGAAGAAAATCCTGAATTAAGGGAAAACAATTTTGATATGTCTTCCAACTACAGAGCCAGGCACATATATAATAATGAAATCGAAGGGTAAGCAGAGCCAAAATTCCCTAGATACTGTATGGAAAGTTTATATTACTGTTTCCTAATGAAGTGAGAATTTTATTTTTTCTATTATTTACTCTTCCTGTTCTC